TACATCTCAAACACAAACACAAATAATGACATCCAGAACCAAAAGAACAAGACCGTGAAAAACATAAAAAACAGAGAGACAACATATATATGACTAAATATTAGAATGAAAACGGTGTAGGATAAAAGTAAATTATTATGATCATCATACACATGTAAATTCAATTAATTAGATAATACCCAAATGCATCAAACACATATATCAATAAATAAAGCAGTAAAAAGGAAAAGGTAAAGAATGATCTAGCATGTGATATCAAGAGATGCGTGTTGTCACTGTCCTAAAGCCGTAGACGCCTCCCTACATGCCAGTAATAACGGCTATCTATAACTCCAAGATACAACCCTTGAATATCACAAAGTGTCTAATCCATAAGCACGATTACGGTAGACGGAGTGTGAAGTAGTGATCAATTGCCCATTAATGATCAAGATGAGTAGAAAGATTATAAGGATTATATGAGTATTGTAGTAGGGAGAGAATGAAGACATTTGAATATATTTTAACCCCTTTGTTCTGTTTAAGGAGTTCACTATTTATAAAACTCTACATATCCCTTAATAAAAGACATGACTTCTCTAATGGATATGACTTTTCATATTTTCATTTAAAATAATAATACATAAAGTTTTGAATCTTTAATAAAATAAAGTAAATAACCAACAAACGGTACTTGGAGACTGAAAGAATAGAGAGAATGCATGTGAAATCAACGTGTGAATTTTCATGAAATGCTAAAATGCAGACCCATCAGTCATTGATATGCATGCACTTGGAGCACTTGGGAAGTTGGAAATTTCATCAATATTAGAAGCGGCTCAGCTGGCAGCTCCACAAATAATCCATTGTCTCTTAACACAAACTCCCTCTCCACCTCATTTCTTCACACCACACCAACCACCCCCCCCCCCCGCGCGGCGCCCGTGGGCCGCCTTATCCAATTGATACACATGCAAGCTCATGAAACAAATAAAGGACTAGATGAGAATGTGAAATTAAAATGCATAGATAACCATAGTTTGTTAAATAAAAACGTGGCAAAATATTGGAGGGAGGGTGGGTAGCGATCCCCTCGGATTGGGGATAAGCACAAAAATGTTACGGAGGCGACATTTTTACATATTGGTGTATTAGAGTTTGTTTGGATGTACTTTTAAAATGATTGAAAACGTTTTTAGAGAAAATGTTTTTAGATTCCAAAAGCACTTAAAGTGCTTTTTGCAAGAAGCACCAATTATGTGCTTCTTCCAAGAAGCACTTTAAGTGTTTTTCCAGAATTTACTTGCATTTTTACCAAAGATTAGTTCTAAAAACATTTTTACCAAAAGCGCTGTCGGTTATTTTAAAAGCACATCCAAACGAGCTCTTATTTGATGTGGCAAGTGATATGCAGTGTACATGCCAAGTCAATTAATGAATTTATCTCATTGAATATTCCTTGTATACATCAATTTTCACATTAAATAATACACCAACTAATGTCATATAAATTAAACATATATATCATGCTTTTTCTATTTATATTCATGAACACCTGTGAAAGATAAAAAAAATGTAATTAAAAGCAATAATCAAAGTTTGGATTCATCCATCAGTTTGATTCTAGTCGTCACCATGTTCCACAACTTCAAGAGATGGGACTGGAAGTCGGGACAAATATTGAACAACATAATTGCCAAACAATAGTTTAGTTTTATTCTCTTTTTGGAACTGGCCTGCAAAACTATACGCGCCTTTTCCGATACAAAATATATTGGGAGAACACCACAAAACGTCTTGTAGGTGAATGCTGTTAATTAATTAACTGTGTTTGAAGTTTGGTGTGTTTTAGAAGTAAAGAAAGTTGAGATTCCACTATAAAACCAAATGATAATATGAGGAAGAGTTCAACTTCTTTTAAGTTATTGCATGGTTTGGTCCCTAAGTGATATGGGACTTTGTTCTCGCATTCTCACCCACACTCTCAATTGTGTTAAATTTTCAAGTTTAACACGTGGACAATACAAATTGGATGACGTAAAGTCGGTGTGACTATTAGCTAGGCTTCACAAGTAGGCCAACATGCTCTTATATCATGAAGCATGTTGAAGTTTCACCATAAAATTAATTGGCAATAAGAGAAGTAAGTTCCACATCGTTAAAGGACCAAACCATGCAAGAATTTAGAAGAGTTGAACTATTCTTTCATACTGCAAATTAATTTTATAGTGAAACCCTAACTTTCTTCCTAAAGGATATGCAATTCTTATTGAGGTGAAACTATGCAAGTAGACTGGATGTGTCCGACAAAGGATATGCAATTCTTATTGAGGTGAAACAATGCAAGTAGACTGGATGTGTCCGACTAATTGCCACTAACAATACAACATGTGGGTCAACGTAAAAAGCAGGTCGAACACAAAAACCACATGCATTGTCTTCCACCATATATTTAGAACCAACGTAACTTAAGCATGTATCCATTTTTAAAAAGGAGAATTTCCAAAACTAAGCTATTTGTCACTAATTATATTTATGGATATCTGCTATTTACTGGGCCATATATCGTAAATTAGTAACTCAACTCAACCAATGATTATAATTAATTCAAGTGTAATATTTGGTTTTTATTTCATAATAGGTGACCAAATATTAACTGCAAGATAGTATGGGAGCCCAATATCAGATATTATCTGCATTAATAATTTTTCTTCCTCTTCTTTTTTTTTGTTACAAGTTAAGAGAAATTCTAAAATATATCATTGTATGAGATGTCTTATTTTAAGGGATGATTGAATTTGCTTGTGTGTAAAATCTGTGCATAACATATATATCGATGATTGAGTTTTGTATTTATGTTAAAATATGAAAATGCAAATTTATGAAAATATTTAATTATCGACAATTTCGTAAATATTTTAAACACTAATTTCAATAAAGTCTGCCATGTTTCTTGGGGCTGTTAACTTCTTAGATTCAGTTACTACCAGAACAATTATTTCTTGCTTGGTCTATTTGGTAAAATCATTTAATTGCAACCCAGCATATCACTGTCATATGACCTGAACAATTCAAAGACATCAATGAATGTGGTCCTCTGCAAAATTGTATGAACAGAGTCACTCGAATTCTTACCAATCACTTCCAAGCAGTGTGCGGGTTTATGAAATTTACTTGACAGGAGCAACATTAAGGCTCTCGAACATTGATTTTGAAGAAATGTCTTAAATATTATCAACATTGATTAAAATACTCAATTGGTTAAGAGATTCACTTATAAGATGTATTCTAAAATCACAACAAGACATTATGATCACGAACAAATCAAATCAATTTAAAATAAAGATTGACTAATTATATTAAACTTATCTGTATAATATGAAACACGTGATTATGAAGATGAAGCCATTGATCCTTGCAAAGAAAGTACAAGTAGTCTTCAACTTTTAGTACCTCTCAATGAACTCTACCATTACTATCGAAATAGGCTTGTAGTTTTCGTGAGTTTCAGTTGGTATGGAAGCAGGGACTGCTCTTAGGTTATATAGCTAGGGTTTCAACAAATTCCTCCATATTATTAGAAAGAATATAAACCCAAATCATATATAATCAATTAGAGTCTCATCATGACTCTTATTCCTTTTATTTACTTAACAAAGGTTCATAATTGATCGCATTTATTTAGGACTCCAATATGTTTATTTCCTTCAGGCACCGAGAATCCTAGAGATTTCATTAACTTGATTGCCAAATCAATTATTCCCTCATTTATTCTCGGCATAATTCATTGTCATTCACAAAATGGTTTTACATCACTTATATCCGATGTCTTGAATTCCATTTCTCTCATTCCCACAGTATCGGCCATATGTCGTATAAAAAAAAAACTTATAATGATGACTTCAAGCTAGCTCGTATGTGGACACTAGTTTGCTTCTTTGCCCGCCCTCTCAAAGGCATTAAAGTATACCTACATTATAACAATTTTGTCACTTTTAAATCGAGAATGCATAAATATTTAGCCTAATAAATACCAGTCAATCTGCATCTTATGTTTTTTTTTTTTAGGTCAATAAGATGTAGGTCAGTTATGTTCAACAAGGAGTATGATTCTCTTTTTTCTAAAATTTCTCCCCTCCTCTCTCATTTTTTTTTTCTTTCCCTATAAATAAGTGAGCACAAGATTTTTACGTACCTTAATCGTGATCGTTCAAATAATGAAAGGGAGGGAAAGAAAATTTGAAAGGGAGACTGTTCCATTCAACAGATGCTTCTGCTGCCTATAACCGTTACGTTTACGTCGATGGATAGGGGGAATTAACCTCACGTCCTCAGAGAAGCGTGAGTCTCACAATAAAGCCAAAATAATACCAAAAAATTCCACATACAACTGCATAACCAGTCATGTCGAACTACTAACCTACAGCAACAGAATCAAACAACCCTACTTTTATGGTTTTACTTTCTCAATTCACGCACCACAAAAACGAAGGTTAAAAAATAACTGAAATAACTAGAATAGCTGAAACCACAGGAATTGGTCAAATACATTAAACGGTCATATATATTCTGTTTTTACATATTAAAATTCCAGCTAGGCTACTTTGGAATTTGTGCATTGCTTAAAATAAGGCAAAGTGATCTTGAAAAAGATATGGTCTTTTTTTGGTCGGTTGCTATCTGTCGTTCTCTGTGTTCTTCTGCATCCACTGGTATTCCTTGCTTCCCTTTATTCATGTTCCAAGCTCCGACTCCAATGAAACTGATTAAAAAAACAACCTTAAGCCTTTGATTCATTTTCCATGTTTGGGTTTTCTTTTTCTCTGTTTTGGCTGCTTTCTTGTTGTCTCCTCACAAACTGGAAAGACCAATGAAAAAAGAAGAGAGCTTTCCAAGTTATATGAGTCAACAAGGTGGACAATATACAAAAAGGGTGTGCGACACACACTTTATATTACTTCTCATACATCCTTGATAATTTATGTCCGTTAATCTTCTTCAATTCATCCAATTCGATGGTCGAAAATTAAAAAGATGTGTGAGAAATAAAATGCGGTGTGTAGATATCACACTCCTATACAAAATTAGGGTACGCTTCGGTTTTCTTTACACAAGGATTTTGGCAATCGGATCATTCATCAAGAATTCAATGACCAATATCTAATCATCGGAGTATAATAGAAGTTTCAAACAATTAATTAATAAACACAAGTACATGGTACTTGTTTAAATTGATTTAACTAGTTATCTTATCAATTTGTGTATAATTATGTACTTGTTTTTTTTTAGTACGAGACAGGAAATGAGAGCCAACCATATGCTGGTATGCTTGAGGGGCAGCTTTTTTGCCTTGTAATTAATTGAAAGAACACAAGTTGCTGTTGCTGAAACCATGGATTAAGAAAGCTTTGTCTTTGATCTTCCACATCCCACAACAAGCTCTCACCGTCCTGAAAATGATATATGTTTTGCCATGAACTTCCAGGTTAGAGAAATAATATTAACAAATAATTCATTGAAATACATTTGTTCAATGGCTTGAAAACTTTGAGTTTTAATGATAAGGACAAAATAAAGGGTAAAGTGAATAGTATCATGATTGACTTTTTAGTGTAAAAATGTGGTTTTTCGTTAAAGTGAACAGTACCGGGTGCTTTTCATTAAAGTTCCCTTTTAAAAAGGTAAATTGAAATTGGGTTAACAAATTAGGTCAGAAATATATACCTGAAAGAAGGTATTTGGCCTTTGAAGTAGAAGTGAAGCTGAACTGTCTAGAAAAGGACAGTTGTTATTTGTGGTGGCAGCGGCAGCGGCAACGGCAGTGGTGGCGGTGATGTTGGTGGATGTATCAGCAAAAGGTGTTGGCTGTGTTGGGTTGCATTGTGGCACAGATTGATATGGTGATTCCGTGCTACACAATCTCTGCATGGAAAACAATAAAAACCAAATTGTTATTACATTAGTACTTTTTGGTTCGTGAATTAGATTTTTCGACAAAGAAAATCTCGTGTCTCTATTCCCATGAGATAAGAATTGAAGATTTTCATTCCCATGTTTGAAAACATTGTGACGTGGGACTGAACATAATTGATCCTTTTTTACTATGTACCTCTGGTTTGACCACCAAAGCACCAATGTCGATTCCAAAGTCGTAGAACATTGGATTCAAAGAGTCAAGTTTCACCGAGAGGAACTGAAAAAGAAAAAGAAAAAAAAATTAGAAAAAAAATTGGTTAAATCAAATATTCAATAAAGATAATAAATTAACATGTGTGTGGATATTACATATCTTTCAAACAGTACCTCCACTTGATTTTGTAGGGACTGAACATAATTGATAATTTCATCCAGCATGACTGCCCTTCCAGTTATCTAATTTATTTTAAAAAACCAATCAGATGAATCTAGTCAGGAAAATTACATAATATATACATATAGGGTAAAGGCAAGTAAGCAAGAGAGAGCAGCTGGTGTTCCACCTTGTCACAGCCAGGAACAAGTCTTTGCAACATCTTCATCCTCTCACTAATTTTCTGTCTTCTTACCTAAGAAATAGAGAAAAAAAGAATACACAATTATCAGATATAATAAAATGGTGGGCACAATAGCAATTTTGGGACATTATAAACTGTTGGGCATGTTTAATGAAATTTCATATTTTGTGTACCCTTTCTGCAAGGCTGTGACTATCTGTAGCCTGACCCCTCCTTGCTCTAACATGAATGTAGCCAGTTGGAGGTCCTTCTCTTACTTTCACCTGGTCTTCTTCATCTGATTTAATCTTCTTTTCCTCATCTTTCTTGGTACCGCCATCAATCTTCTTTTGCTTCTTTCCCTTCTGCTCTTTAGTACCCTAATGGAACACAGCACCATTAAACACCCCACCCCACAAATTCCTACAAATTAAGATTTTTTGCTACAATAAAGCGGGATCCCTGCTAAGAAATGGGTCGTCTATATACATGTATATATAATAGATTATGAAAATACCTTGGATTGAGCAGAATTGAAGGATGATCCAGTGCTGGATTTTCTCTTCTTGCCCATAGGAGTCACTTTCTGAGTGACCTGATCACCAATTTCAATCCTATCCACGTCCACAACAGTTGAGGACTCTGTGCTCTTGTTTTTGGTCACAGAAGGATCATTCTCATTGTCACTAAAAGCAACCTTAGTAGAGCTATGATCCATAGTGCAGCTGCTTTCAACAGCTCTTGAATTATTATCAGCTTGAATTTCCTGGGTTAAAGGCTCAGATGGGTAAAAAGATTGAGAGAAGTTACTGTCAGTGTTGATGCTATTGGTAGTAGGAGCGTTGGGCAAGAAAATTGAGTCAAGGAGAGAAAGGTGGTGGAGATTTTGGTATGAAAAGGCTGCCATGTATACTATATCTGGACAGAGAGCTTTTGAAAATTTGGAAAAATGGTAGAGTGTTATATGAAAGAAAGTGATATACGGAAGACACAGAGAGAGAGAGAGAGAGAGAGAGAGAGAGAGAGAGAGAGAGAGAGAGAGAGAGAGAGAGAGAGAGAGAGAGAGGGAGGGAGAGACGAGATGTAGAGAGAGAAAAGCAAGTCAAGAAAGGTGGGTTTTCTGTGAGAAACGAAGTGGGAAGTGGCTCATATAAAGATGAGGAGGGGGGAGTGGAGAGAAGGGAGACACATCCGAAAGGTGTATAAAATCTTTCGGTAACTCATTCGCATGCAAATGTTTTCTCTACACCAATCTTATCTCATCAATCCCTTTCTTTCTTATTTCTCTCTCTCTACATAAATATACATACAGTTGTGTATGAAAAGAAAAGAAAATAAAATAAAAGAGAAACAAAAAAAGACGAATGGCTGATAAGGATTTAAGCTTATATTATCAACTATGGCTATATATTATTTAAGAGTAATGTTAGAGAGATTTTTTTATTTAAATCATATTCTGTAAATCATGGGCATCTTTTGTGCTGGCTATTTGGTTAAATGTGAAAATAGTATGTACCAGCTGGGGCATCTTTTGTACCGGCTACTTGGTTAAATGTGATATAAAATAAAAATGTCCATGTACATGAGCAGAAACAATCGCACTATGCAGTCAGAAACTAATAGCAACCGATCGACGGGTGTCATCAATGACAAAATAAATAAATAAGAAAGAGGGGAAACACTGAGCATTCACCCTTAATTTGCTTCTCTTTCTTCTACAATTATTTGAGCTAAAGAGCTAGCTATGATGATATTTTTCAGTTTGGTGAAGTCCTGCCTCTGTCTTGAAATTATGGTCCAACGTTTTTTCTTGTTCTACCAAAAGCGTATGCCTCTCCTACTCCTAGCCCCTCATCCTTGCAATTGTACCTAGCTTCTTTTTTGAGATATTGGGGTTCATCTATTTGGAAAGAAAAAGTTCCTTAGCTTCCAATAGATTCGCATTGTGTTCGAAGACTTTTTAAACAATGCAGTATTGATCCATACCTTAATAGAGAAAGGTGATCCGTCAATCTAATGATACAAACACATTTGTATTTGTATAAGAGTTCCGCAAATTTGATCATTAATAAGTTGACCAAGATCATATATGGCTGAACTCTGTCATAGCCTCACAGGGTATATGGCAGACACATTTTTACAAAGGGATGTTACTATCCACACACTCATTTTCACCTCTCATACATCCGTCTCAATTTTCAGCCATCGGATGAACGAATTGAAGAAGAGCAATAAATAAAAATTAACAAGAGTGTGTGAGTAATAAAAAGAAATGTGTAAATAGCATTATCTTTTTACAAAACGGAAATTTGACTTCAAAAGAAAATTACAACTTTAATTTTTTCGGAAACAGGAGTACTGGTACTCTTTTGTATCATTTGACATGTCAATCATTATATAAGCCAATATACACTCAGTGATATTGTTATCCAGAAATTAAACATGGGTCTGTAATTATGACCACCGTCAATGCTATAGGTTCCCTATTCTTAGAGCATGTCCTTGGAGACTAAAGGTCCCCCATTAATCGTTTAGGCCATGTCCGATAAAGATTTAGGTTCCCTAGTGTTGGTCCATCTACACACAATAATATACAAAACCTTCGATCTCTACAGCGGTTAGCCGCACTTGTGGTTACCCTATTTTTGCATTGCCGGTCGATCAAGATTGTCACATTGTCGTTTGACAGGCATTTTTGCATGACAGTTGGGCCACATGTACAGCCGTCACATGTTGATATATTTAAGATTTGATCATCCTTAGTTGCACATTTAAGTAAACTACATAACTCTAACAACTAAAAGTGAGCATCATCTCCACTTATTGAGTGTTCTAAAATGAGGCATAGGCACTAAAACAATTGTGATTTTTCTTTCCGCCACCAACTACCGTTTTGCGATTTTCAGAACATTGTTAATGAAAAATGTAATGTGACTCATTACTTAAAAGATCTTTAAAAAAATCACATGTGAATTAAGTCAATTGATTAAAACACTATACCTTCTTGCACTATATTCATCAATTTAAATGTCCTTCCCATGTAGATTAAAATAGTTTGGTAGTTTTAGAAGAATCACAACATAGAATGCCTTTTGGCGATTAAAAGCGAAGCGCATGAACCAGAGTGCACAGGTAGGTACGTGTACATGTCACGTAAAAGTCTTAGGGTTCTTTTGCTTGCTCTTTTGGCTTCAACTTTGGAAGTACGATTTGTAGAAATTGAGAGGCCCTGAGGGGAAGCTCTGTGTTTTCGCGTTCACTTCTCTTTCTGCATGTAAATTGAAAAAAGCATCACCATCGTCATCATGGACTGGATTCGTGAATTGTAAGGTATTTTTAGGAGCTCTCTGTGCCATGCATACACTGCCATGAAGGGCATTCATTCGTTCAGATTTTCTAATCATGGCCTTGTTTTTCCTTCATTTTGTTTTATTTTTATATTATAACAGTGGTCCCTTGTCCTCAGCAACGGATAAAATGCACAATCAACATTTTACCAAATAAAAAATAACCATTTCACAATTACAGTTTTCTACAATTGTTGTACAAGTGTTGGTGAGCCTTGCCTTTATTATACAAAGGGTAAATCGCCAAAATAGTTTTTAAGATTTGCATTACTCATCACTTTGGTCCCTGAGATTCCAAATCGATAAAAGTGGTTCCTGAGATTGTCCACCATCCATCATTTTGGTCCTTCCGTTAAGTGTCCCGGCGCTCTTGGCCGGAAGTTTGGGCAATTTTCAAAGCTTCGTAACTCAATAGTTTCTTAATCAAATTCAATCCATAATATATCAAAATGAAGATAGGAAAGTGTAGAATAATATTATACCTATTTCGAAGTCCAACGGTTGCCAGAGATGGCCGAAAAATAGCCTCAAAATTGACTGGTCTGAAAGAAAACTGGAAAACTCGCCGAAAATTGGTTAAATTTTAAACGTTCATAACTTCTTCAATACTCAACAAAATCAAGTGATTCAAAAATGAAAATCATACTTCTCGATGAGACATAGACAATGGTATCTTTTTTTACTACTAGATTGCCGTGGTTTGGCCTGAAAACGGCTCGAAAGTGGCTAACGCGAGACCAAGATAGCCACTTTCGAGCAGTTTTCTGGCCAAACCACGGCGATTTAGCCATCAAAAAGGTACCATTCTCTTAGTCTCGTCGAGAAGTATGATTTTCATTTTTGAATAACTTGATTTTGTTGAGTATTGAAGAAGCTATGAACGTTTAAAGTTTACCTAGTTTCTGGCGAGTTTTCAAGTTTTCGCTCGGATCAGTAACTTTGAGGCTATTTTCCGGCCATCTCCAGCAACCATTGGGCTTTGAAATAGGTATAATTTTATTCTACACTTTCCTATCTTCATTTTAATATATTATGGGTCGAATTTGGTTAAGAAACGATTGACTTATGAAGTTTTGAAAATTGCCAAAACTTCCAGCCAAGAGCTCCGGTACACTTAACGGAATGACCAAAATGATGGATGGTGGACAATCTTAGGGACCACTTTTATCGATTTGGAATCTCAGAGACCAAAGCGATGAGTTATGCAAATCTCAGGGACCATTTTGGCAATTTAGCCTTATACAAATGGTTCAAATGTGATATAAAAAAATATGATAAGTGTAACATTACTCATTTAAACTACGTATGTACCCGTATATGAAAAAGATCTACATAGTTTATACTGTTTTCAAAATTTAACCGTATAAGTATATTATTAGGGGCTGTTTAGAATAATAGTATCCATTTTAATCCAATTTTTAGTTTTAAAAAACTGATGAATATAGCTAAATTACTTAGCATCCCTTAATTTTAAATTGGATCCAAAAAATACAAAGCATGCACTATAACATTCAAACCCGTTGAACAATATTATCTAATTACTAACTTGGCTCTTATTGCCCTACTTTAATCCTCTCAAAAGATTGGTCCGTCAGTACGTAGTTGTTTTGATAGTTTTTCGTATTAAAAAGTACAGTAGAAGATATCACAGTTTCCAATTGGAAATAATATATGTCTAAGAAATTTACACCCGGCCAATACTTTCATTTATAATTTAATCTCCTCATCTTCTAATATGAAATTCGATCTCCGCCACTAAATCTTGCAAAATACTTGATATTTCCAGTCGGAGGGGGATCATTCGGAGCCTCAGTACTGGACAGAACCCTAGAAGGAGGAGGCATCAGAGGTTGATCATTTGGAGCTTCATTACGCGGTACAGCCCCAGAAGACGAAGGCAATAAATGCCTTTGGAACAAACCCACAAATCTCTGATGATCAAGTAAAACCTGACCATCAGTTTCCTTCATCTGGTCAAGCTTCCTCTTCATGTTTGTAGCATAGTCATGTGCGAGCCGGTGCAACTGTTTATTCTCATGCTTGAGCCCTCTAATCTCCTGTTTGAGACTCATCACTTCGGCCGCCAATGATTCAACTTGGCGGGTTCGAGCAAATAGGCGTTGGGCCATATTAGACACAGAACCTGCACACTGAACACTGAGAGCCAGTGAATCCTTAACAGCTAACTCATCAGACCGTTTGGAAAGTAGTCTGTTATCTTTTGGGAGTGAGAAAGGTTCCTGGCCACCACCGCAGCGGTCATATCATTCTTCATCACGGAATCCCCAACGGTAAGAGGACCAGTAGGGGAGACGAAGGATGGGCGCCATATGTTGTCTGGAGAAGGCGGGGCTGCCTCTTCAACAAGGTTCAAGTCAAAACGACGGTCGGAGGGGCCAGACATTTTCAAAGGTGTTGAAGAGAGAAGAGGTCGGACAAATCAAGATCTTAGAAGTGCAAGAATGAAGCTTCTACTGGTGGAGATTCAAGTGTGCTTTGGAACTTAATGCCAGCCCCTATAAAAATCTGCACTCGACGGAGCTTCAGATCATCGAAGAGGCGTTTGCTTTCTCAAAAGCTGGGCTGCTTAGAGATCACGAGGGTTGATCTCAGAAATCGAAGAGGCGTTTGCTTTCTCAAAAGTTGGGCTGCTCAAAGACCACGAAAAGGCCGATCTCAGAAATCGAAGAGGCGCTCGCTTTCTCAAAAGCT